TCACGGCATCGCACGGCACGGCATGTGGCTGGCGTGGAATGGCACGGCACGGCGTGGCATGGCACAGCATGGCATGATGTGGCATAGCATGGCATAGCATGGCACAGCATGGCACGATGTGGCATAGCATGGCACAGCATGGCGCAGCACGGCATGTGGCTGGCGTGGAATGGCACGGCACGGCGTGGCATGGCATGGCATGGGGCTGGCACGGCACGGCCATGGCATGGACAGCATGGCATGGGTCTAGCACAGCACAGCACGGCACGGGCTGGCACGGCATGGCATGGCACAGCATGGGATGACATGGCAGAGCATGACATGTGGCTGGCGTGGAATTGCACAGCACGGCGTGGCATGGCACGGCATGGGACTGGCACGGCATAGCATGGGCTGGCACAGCATGGCACGGCACAGCACGTCACGACATGGCAGAGCATGGCATGTGGCTGGTATGGAATGGCATCACACAGCGTGGCATGGCACAGCATGGGGCTGGCACAGCATGGCATGGCACGGCATGGCACAGCATGGCATGGACATGGGTCTAGCACAGGACGGCATGGGGCTGGCACGGTACACGATGGCATCATGGCACACATGGCATGGGTCTAGCACAGCACAGCACGGCATGGGGCTGGCATGGCAAGGCACGGCACGGTACGGCATGGCATGGCATGGCATGGGGCTGTCACGGGACAGCACAGCATGGCGTGGGGCTAGCATGGCACAGCATGGCACAGCATGGGGCTGGCACAGCATGGCACAGCATGGCATGGGGCTGGCACGACATTAGGATGGCACGGCGTGACACAGCGCAGCATGGCATGGGGCTGGCATGACATTGGCACGGCATGGCATGAGGCTGGCACAACATGGCATGGCGTAGCACAGCATGGCACGGGGCTGGCAGGGCACAGGATGGGGCTGGCACGGCGTGGCACAGCCCGGGGGTGGCACAGTCTGCTTGGCTCAGCACAGCCCTGCATGGCATGGCACGGCACAGAGCTGGCACACCATGGCATGGCACAGCATGGGGTGACACAGCATGGCATGAGGCTGGCACGGCACGGCACAGACTGAGGATGGCACAGTCTGCCTGGCTCAGTAGAGCCCAGCATGGCAGGGTTTGGCACGGCATGGCACAGCATGGCACAACACAGGATGACCTGGGGCTGGCACAGCAAAGCACGGGGCTGGCACAGTCTGCCTGGCTCGGCACAGCCCAGCAGGGCATGGCCTGGGGCTGGCACAGCAGGGCACACGGTGGCAACAACCCCCCTGGCTCGGTGTGCTCCGGGCCACGGCTGTCCCGCAGCCGGCATGGCACATCCGGTCCTTACGGCCTGGCGCAGCCCAGCACTGCCCAGTACAGCCCAGCACTGCCCAGTCTGGTGCAGCATGGCCCAGCACGGAGCAGCCTGGCGTGGCATGGCACAGCCTGGCCTGGTTTAGCGTGGCACGGCACAGCCCAGCCCAGTACAGCCCAGTCCTGCTGTAAGTTGTGGCATGGCAAAGCCCGGCACGGCGGCTCGGTTTGGGACAGCACGGTGTGTACCCCGGCCCGGGCGGGCAGAGGAGGGCACGCAGCGAGGCAGGAGGGCAGGATGTGCCAGGGGACCCTCTGTGCCCCCACCCCGGCCATGCCTGCGGCAGTGGGATGGAGAGGTCCCGGCAGCGCCGTCCTGATGCAGGGATGCTCCCGCCACCGCCGCCCTCCGGCCCCTGAGTCAAAGCCACACAAGGGGACGCTTTCTGCAGGGACAAGGGGACTCTGTGCGCGGCCCTCGGTGCCACCCGGCTCCACCGTCCGGGGGTCATCTGCCCTGTCATGCGGCTGTCCCAGTGACACCGTGATCTTCTGCCTCACTGGGGCTTTGTTCGCCACCGCGGGAGACAAGATGTGCCAGGGATGGGAGCCCGGTTTCGGGGGTAGCTCTGCTCACACGCGCGTGCACACACACGCACATGCGCTGCCGAAAACCCAAACCAAACCAAACGCAGAGCAGCCGCTCGTGATTCACTCAGTTACGGGCAGAGGATCAAAAACATGCCGTGAAGTTTGAAAAAAAACCCCAACAACAACAAAAAAAAGCCGAAAACCCCCAAAACCCCAAGACATCTCTTTTGCTTACCTTGCACTTCTTGCTGGGCCGGGGCACGCGGCGCGACCGGGTCACGCGGTGCAGCCAGAGCAGGTTTTTGGCCGGGTCCCGGCACACACGCCGGCAGAAAAGGGGGATATTTTATTTGCTTTCTCTTTTGCTTTTGGTAAAAG